ATTACTACAAGGACTACATGGACAATGGATATGCTCTTTTCAACCATGATCCCAATGGCGAATTGGGTTTGGAATTATCTTTCATCAAACTAGATAAACCCTTTTGGGAAACGCCATCGCAAGAAGCTTGGTAGAGTACAGTAGATAAAGATTTCTATTTCCATCTTCATGCAAACAACCCGACTGCTGCATCAACGGAACACAGAGTACTACCAACATGTTGAAGAACGGAAAGCCATTGTCTATTTATCTTGTTTCCAGTAGTAGGACACGTGACACGGCAAAAAAAAATCGTAAGACAGTAGCTGCGGCTGAATTTTGATTTGAGGTGCTGCTTTTCTTTGCTACGATAATACTTTACTATAATGCCAATTCAAGGTATGGTCATGGGGGTACTACCGGTATGATACAATAGTCAGCACAAATGATATGGCAAAATTCCCCCAAATATGGGACCCAAACATCGCAACGGCAAAATGTATCATAGTACACACCAGCCGACCTTAATTGTGTTGAGGGGTTGTTCGCTGTTTTACGCCGGCGGGGTCTAATATCCAGACGTACCTATTTTCACCAACCATAAATTCTAATATATCGGTACATAGTAGGTTGTGAAACATCCTGCAGCAACATGAATCGTCTCACTGGGAAGAAGAAACAACGATTATCAGCGACAAGCATCTTCATCTGGATTGCCGTTGGATGTGGAATCGCAATGCTGGTGGTCTCGAGTACAACATCTGGAGCCTATCTACGAAATAATATGAGCAGAAAGTTGAGCGAAATATACGAAGAAGCTATAAGCAACAATTCTACGAGGACAAATGGCTTGGGTAGTATGCTTTCACTGGGTCCAGAGGAAGACAGGCTTCTGATCTCAGAGTTGACACAGTCGCCAACACCTGGTTCTCTTGAATGTCCAGAAGGATTCATTGCAATTTATGACAGAATAATTCCCGAGACCAACTCTACTACAGTCAAGCGGAAAATTCCCAAGATCCTGCATATATCGTATAAGAGCCGTTGTCTTCCAGCAGAAGTGTTCGGGGCTGGAGTTCAGCGGTGGATGGATGAACTTCCTGATTATTCTGTTTATTTTCACGATGACGATGCTGTCGACCGCCTCATGGAAGCAGAATGGCCAGAGTTCCCACAGCTTCATCGGATCATGAGATGTCTACAGTACAAGGGGGCGATGAAAGTTGATTTGTGGAGAATGCTTGTAATCTACCGATTTGGAGGGCTGTACACGGACATTGATAATGTCCCTGCAGAAGAATTCAAAGGAGGGGAGGTTATTGATCCAGAGGACACTTTCTTTTCCACTTCTGATAGCTGGAACAGACCCAATCAGAATGTATTCGCAATGGAGCCTTTCCACCCTATCGCCATCTTTACTATACAGACCATTATGAAGAACCTATACGAAATGACAAGCTTACGTAAACCTCAAGTGGTGTTCGTGACTGGGCCCATGGTGTTCAGAGATGGATATATATCGTATCTCGAACTCTCCTATCCGTACAAAACGCATGAACAGATCTTGGAAGCTGGATTGAAGAAAGGAAAACTGGGCAAACAGATTCACAAGGAAGGGCAGTGGAATTGGGGAAATATCATTGGTTCTGAAGGTGTGGAGTACGATGGAAAGAATATGAGCAAGAAGGAACGAGATCATTTACTTGCTGGTACCTATCATTGGTCGAAGGTTGTTTACTGGAATCGAAATGGACTAGATTTATCTTGTCGAGAATATTTATATCAGTTGGAACACCCTTCGCCGGAGAACGGAATTGCTGCCAATTGGACGGTCCTTGGAAGATGAAGTGCCATGATTTGATCTCATTCTTTCAGACTACACGTTAGACTATCTCTGTTCGACAGGCGAACAAGTCGTAGAGCACTAGCCATTACGCTGGGAAAAGAATGTATTGATGAAGTCACAAGCAATGATGCCTTTTGAACCGAAAATGGAACCGAAAAGTGCACGCTCACCGAAGCAAAATATTCCGGAAGATTGCGAAAGGAACCTACCGGTACAGGTACCCTCGCAGTAGTTCCAGCATTTTGATGTTGGAATTTCACACTTTCGACAAGTTACTTCAGCAGTCCCAATTGGGCAAATGTGATACTGTACTTGGATAACCAACCGTCTTCACACAATCATATTCATGCTACTGCATTCAACATAGCCTGTCTGATGCTAACCCCCGTATTCCCCATAATATCCCTAGTCTTGTTCTTCATCTGTTGAATTGCCCTCTTGCAACCCCATTTTCATCGCTCGATTCAACTGTTCCATGTATTTATATTCCTCTTCTTCGTCATATGCCTCCTCCTCGTCGGATGATGATTGCTCGTGTCCAACGCCATTCCTCTGATCTTGATCCTGATGACTGTTGTTGCTACCCTCATTACTTTCGTCGTCGCCGTCGCCGTGTCTTTCGATTGGCGACACACAGCTGCCATTGGGACGAACGGCACCAATGCTAGTAGTATCTCCTCGAACTCTTGAAACTGGTACTCCTCCTCCCACCTGTGATGGTTTGAATGGTTGAGGGGTCATAGCATTCCCGCTCGGTGGCTCCGTCTGGGTTGGATATACAGTGTCCATCAAAGTGCTGTTGGGATTCATGGTGCTACTCTCTTCTGGACTATTTTGAAGATCGGCTCTTCTCGCCAAGGCGTCCAAGAACAAGCGAATCTTATTTGTCGCAAAGTCCTCACGGCAGAGCAGACAATTTTTTTTGGTGACACACAGTCCACCGGTAAATACACGACGATTGCATCCAGAGATACATATGATTTTATTGAGTAGAACCACCGAGCATTTTAAAACCTTCGTGTGTGGTCACTTGAAGCATCGGCCAGTGAAACAATGTCTGCGATGCGATGACAGGTTCGGAAAGTATTTCCAATGTACCGACAAAGATGTGGAATACTGGGTCTCAACTGTTGTCGAAAGCAAGTTGCAGGCTGCTGGGATAGCAGCTCCAGTTGCCCTATTTCCACCGCAAATACGCCATCACAGTCAAATCGCTTGCACCACTAGCGATGACAAGTGAATCAAGAAAAAGACAAAGCACGATCAAATCAGTTTGTCATCATTGGAAACTGGAACCGGTCCACAGCAACAAGCAGAACCCTCGTCTCCTCGACAGCATCAGCTTATTACTCCTTCAGTTACAGCGGTTCCAAGAAAGCAAAAAGGACCCACTACTGATAATAAAAACTACATTGTCCCGACAGACCATGGCATCTTAATCATGGAAAACGAGAGCGAAATGGTGTCTCCCTTGGGCAATAGACGTTTTGCGCGCCTCGCAGATACTTATCTTGAAGAATACCAAGACACAGCTGCTATTCACAAATTGAGAATGTGTTTCCGCATTTTCCATCAGTTGCAGCAATTGGACCCTCCCATGCGATTCTTGCTATAGCAGCAAAAGTTCGATACGATGATGAATCACAGTATTCTCCATACGGACCGAGGCCATACGTGCGACCATCCATCCCATCTGACATCGAAAGCTGCAGTAAGCAATGACAGCTTAGTTTATCGATATCGGTTGAACTGATGCGTTCATTGCATTGACGGATTTTCGAAATGTCGATGGCATACAAGTATGACGCGCCGTGTTTTGCAGTCGTCTATAGTCACGCTAACTATCATTGACGAAAGCTTGGGAACGAATCATTGGACTCCTTTCATCATACTGACGACGGTCGAACGACCGTCACAACAGCTTTGCTCCGCAACACCAAGTCCGATCAATTTATCGAACTTGTGTGCGAGTATACATCAAGAAATACGTTTCGCGCAATCCAAAAGACCAGCTTCACACCACAACCCACCAGAGTCGCACCAAGAAAGAATCCCTCAATTGGCTATCGATAGTGCGACAATTCGCTTTCAAACTACATTTTTTTTTTTAAGAAGCTGAAGGGCAAGGCCCAACACCCAGATGAACAAGAAAGTGCTGACCGTATCGATACTATAGCCGCAGTATATTTCTTAACTACGTGCAAACATGGCAAAAGGGACCTGGTGGATCCGAGGAGAGGTTTGGACTGGATTGTAATGGGCAGCTGGTTACGGAAAACTCAGAGCTGCGCTCATGACGTGCAAGTAAGACATCACTGGAAAGGCGCGGACCCCATGCACAAAGATTCTGATTGAAGGAAGAAGCCCCGTAGAATATTAAATCAATCCTTGTAGCAGAGGAAACATCCCATGACGACAAATCTTGATTAAAGGCTGAAGCTCCATAGAACACACCCGACATTCTTGTGGCGGAAGATACATCCCATGTTGATATGTCTCCATTAAAAGAAATTGCCCTCCTGAACATTGAATTCATGTTGGAGAGAGACGAGACGTTCCACGATGACAAGTCTCCGTTGAATGATGTTGCTTCGCTGAACATTCCCCCCATACCGGTCACAGAAGAAACATTCCATGGTGATATGTCTCCATTGAACGCTGATGCGCCATCGAACATTACTGCCATGTTCTGGACTGAGGAAACGTCCCACAATGACAAGTCTCCGTTGAAGGATACCGCCTTGTAGAACATGTTTGCCATGGAAATAACGGAAGAAACCTTCCACAATGATATGTCTCCATTGAACAATGATGCCTCGCCAAACATCCATCCCATATTAATGACGGAGGACACGTTCCATGATGAAAGGTCTTGGTTGAACGATGACGCGCGGCGGAACATTCCCCCCATATTGGTCACAGAAGAGACATCCCAAGAGGACAAATCTTGGTTGAATGATGTTGCCCTGTAGAACATTTCTCCCATGTTGGTCACAGAAGAAACGTCCCATGTTGATAAATTGTTATTGAAAGAATCTGCGCCAGCGAACATCAGGCTTATGTCGGTGACAGAAGAAACATCCCAAAACGACAAATCTTGGTCCAAGGAACCCGCGTTGGTAAACATCCGATGCATCGTTGTGACAGAGGAGACGTCCCACAACGACAAGTCCTGATTGAAGGACGATGCAGCAAAAAACATCCACTGCATATCTTTGACAAAAGATACATCCCAGTTTCCAATATCCTCATTGAAGGTATTACGAGCACGGAAAAGTTCTCTCATACTAGTGACACCTGAACTGAAACACCAATCTCCGATTTGCCCATACTGGGCCTCGACTAATGCCTTCAATTCAGAAGACTGAAACCAATCATCAACTGTATT